ATATACCTGACAGATGAGTGTTGCACATCCGACTTTGACAACCTCGCCAACTGAATAGTCAGCCGTGAACTTATAGCAATAGCCTTCGATAAGCCCGAATATTGTTGAACATTCCTCACTATCTTGCAATACTTCTTGACCAACAAAATATTTCAGTCCCGTATAACATACCAACCCGTTGATAAGAGTCAATTTGTACACCAAAATAATGATTCGCAGCGAAATGTTCATGACTAAAGATCAATGTGTCATATGAGAGTCGAACAATCACAAAAAATTCACAGCATGGAACATCGAATGTAGACTAATCATCTCTCAAAAGCCATGAATATTTCAAACAGCCTGTGACCAGACGTCATCTACCGATTATTAGAATGTCATTCGTATGGATGCAAATATCAGGCTATCTAGAATAAAAATTCAAAATTAAGTAACCCACCGATGTGTGTATGTGTTCGATATTGCCCATAAACAACGTTACTGTCGATTTGAATATCACCTCACAATGATTCATCGTAATTAGGAAACTAGTTCCGCTATCGTAAAATCTATGCATACATTTGCTATACATTCGATTAGAATACCTCGAGAAAACTTTCAACTTTGGTGTTTAATAAGCAAAAAAACCAGATTTTTTGTGTTCAGTCAGCTCTTAATAAGTGTGCGTCATGTCGTTTTGAAGCATCCGTGTTATTGTTATTTCTTCATCACAAAATAGCATGCCAGTTAGCCGAGGAATTGACATTGTACACACTACATAAACACGATGGAAGTCTCTAAAAGACTGAGATTGAAATTGAGATTTCTCATTGATTATGAACACGTTTATTCATCAAAATGCTATTTCAGTTCAAATTCAGCGCCAGTTGATTGCCTCTTCCCCCCCAAATTGAACCTCGCTCGGAATTATTATAAAAGCCACACACAACTGAGGCACTGAATGTGTAGTGTCAGTTTGAGAATAATTTGACACGTTGCATAACAAATTCTTCATTGATTGAAGATGCGCGAATATCGGTTGAAGAATTCGTGCCGATGTTGGTCAGTTTGAAGGATGATCGAAGCCACATGGAGTTCACCGAAAAAGACTTTATTGATGCATTCAGTCAAATGGATCGTGAAGGCAATGGTCTTATTCAATCAACTGATTTAAAATTCATGCTTATGCATATGGGTAAGATTCTGTTTCAGTTTCAATTTTCAAGACAGAAGCAAAAGCCGTCTTGAATTAAAGCAATGATTTCACCTCATCAGAAAAAATCTCAACTGTTATCTATTGAGGAACTGTTGTTCATCCTCTTATTCATCTCATTCATCCAATGACCATTCACTCAAAAGGGATATCGCTTTGAAACAGAAATTCTTTTTTATGCTGTGTTCACGTAATACTGACGGTTCTTCGTTCACTTTTTGATAAATTATCCGAGAATAAGACTCGATTGAAACCGTTACGATTTTATTCACACGAATTAGCCACTTGCGAGCAACCTTTCTCTTTTATGAATCGTTTTTATTTGAACCGAAAGAATTTATGAAACCGTACAATCCAGTGAAGTGCATTGTTGGTCTTTTAGGAGATTATTTATTGACTTATTTAATCAACAGTTACAGCTCATTACGAGCTGATGCCTCTAGGCCGTATCACCAATATTATAAGTATTACATTCGTCATTGTTTGACATCCTTCTTTCCGCACAGCCAACGGTATGAGACCAGTTCTGAGCCAAAGAGTATTTCCGCTGATTATCGAATGAGTCAGCTGAATGAATTATGAAAACTGAATTTTTTGTGAAATATTGCTGCTAGCCAATGCAAGTGTGATGAAGTAAGAAAGAGAGGTACTTTGTCATTGGGAACCGCGATTGATTCATCGCTCGAATTATTCATCGTTTAAAAAGAAATTCGTTTGCTTTTGATAGATATTTCTTGTCTCGCGTCCATTCTTTCGTTTCCTTCCGACATCAGCAATTATTTACGAACACATTGACTATTGGTTGCCTAGAGGACGGCCACTCACGTCAAATGCAAGATTGAATGAGAAAGCAAACTGTAATCACTCATTTATTCAGGCTTCTTAAAGTTAGCAAAGTAAGTGTACAATTTTTGACTGTATAATCAATAATGGAATAATTTTGAACCAAGGTGAGAGGATGACTCGTGCGGAGGTCGAGCAAACGCTGTTCGGTATTGAAGACTCGAATGGCATGGTCAATGTGGACAAGTACGTCACGAGAATGTGCGATCGCGATGCTGAATTTTGACGTGCACTGTGCTCTTGTCTGGACATAAAATATCACTTGTGCTGCTTGGTGTATTATTCGTTTTATGGCGTAAACATTNATTCTCTGTGTGCCTATGCATATCTCATGCATTCAACTTGAAACATGATCATCTCGTGTCACTCGCTTTGCCCTTGGGAGCAGTCGTAATTCCCCAATCCATTGGTTTATTATTCAAAGAGAGTAGTTCGAAATTCCTTGCAACCACAATTCGCCAGTTTCCTTAAATTCTCTTCCAGAGAAAACTCAAGAAAACGCTCCTTAATTGAAACGACATCTGTCGGTTAATACTTAATATTCGGTGGATAGTTGAGCTGTTGCACTTTCAACGATTGCAGATATAAAGCAAATTAACTGTGCAACTGCACTCATCAACCTACACAATATGAAACAGTTCTACAGTAACGATTAGCAGTAAAAGACGAAGTATATCATTTAAAGACAATTGTATGGAGTCTAGAGCTGTTTGATGTTCTCTCGAAGGTTTCATATTTTGAGTGGGTTTACATCCGCATGAAATTTCTCTATCATTCAATTAATCATGGTTGCATGTCATTGTGATGGCTTCTGAATGATGGAACCTAGGAGACCCTTCTTCATATAAAATGATTTTTCCATACATCCATTTTTCAACTAATGCTATAAGCTATACATCTGCCTATGTGTTGCCAATCCCAATAAATCAGCGAGTAGCTGTGCAAGCAGAGAGTTTATTAGTGTGTGGTAGATCAAATGCTGCTTAAGAAGAAAGTAAGATAGTATGCTTACGGACAGACAAAACGACGAGCGATTACGACGACACTGCAATTTGTTGGAATGCACACTTGAGACGAGAATAGCAATTGTTTATGACGAACGAAACTATTGGAAACAATAAAATTTAAAAAAANAAAAAAACATTTCAAAAATTATTCAGCAATATGAATTTTAATTGTGAATACCGCCACAGCAACTTCAGTAACAACGAAAAAAAATTGTTTAATCATCCAAAAACAAGAAACAAATTGCAATCAAAATAAAATAAGGAAACAACTGACAAGCCATCAACATTTATGTACACAACTATTATACATCAACGGGACCTTTCGTCGTCATTTATCATACACTCGTATGGCAATTATTAGCATATCTTGAAAGGAAATCTTTGAATTTCAGAGACGAAAGGTGTTAATTTGAAGTGAACTTTGATATGTGATCCATATAGAGTTCTTGTGAGAAATGAAAAGCATTCGTTTTTTTTAATGACATAATATGATATTGTTCGATGGTGACCGAACTGAGTCGTCAAGTGAACTGGGTGACTGATTGAATCAGGAATTTGCGTTGCCATAATAAATTCAGAAATTAGAAAGGTGAATAAAGGAAATGAAAGAAAACTGAATATATGTATATGAAGATGAAGTCAGGTATTTGATCTGTATATGGGGAGATCGTAGACAAACAAATTGAGAGTAGAATTAGAGTAGTGGATGATAAGGAAGAGCGATTGGAACAATCATTCCATGCGTACATCCTTCATATAACCTCAGAAAAGATTTTCAGTGAATGATATCAATTATACAGTAAAGACTGATTGATAAACAATTTCATCCACTGTCAATGACATTGCAATATCAACCGACCAATACAAAGTCGATAGCCATGATGATCTGATGAGGTTACAGTCAGGAGGAAGAGTTGGTGTTCAGGAAACAATAAAGTGGAATTAGAAGAACAAAAGCAATTGAACAGCAATGAAATGTACAATTAAACAGTCGTCACAATGACTGTATTCAATGAGACAAACAACGAAATACAGTAATTCACCGAATGACATATTTACCCGCTTTCCTGAAATTATAGCCTCTATAGACCAATTTCGATGTTCTCTCCAACATCGAGCTATGGACTGAATGAACATCCCATAACTAAGCACGTATTTTTCAATATTTCACAAATTGATTGTTTTCATTCTTCAATAGAACATAATCGAACCTGAAGACTTCTTTTTCAGTAAAAGCACTTCCGCTTTTCACAGTAAGAAATAGGGATTATACAAAATTGAGCAGCTCAAATAAGTCTCAAGAGAGTAAGACTTCAACTTAAAACATTCAAGAATTAGCTTTATCTCTTCATCAACAGAGCCTTTCTGCTGATATTTTCACTGGACCATCATCTCCGTTGATCCCAATTAAAACTGGAAATCACTCTCAAATTGTGGCTATCAAATAGAATTCCAAATACATATGAGCATTCGAGTATGATGTATGTATGAAGACATCATATTCATATTTGCTCATGAACCAAATTTACTCCAAGCCAACTCAGAACATTACCATACAGGGTTCGTTGAGGTCAGTCAGATTTGAAACATGACGCCATCATAAAGAGCGCAATCAACGAACGCAAATGATGATGAATTCGGAAGAAGGTACAATTTGAAATTGTCAATTGATCGATAGTTCTGGATGATATTTGAATTTTTTGGAAAGAACAAAATTTGTGAGAATAAGATCGGATGATGATGTGAATTATAGTCGATGGAAATGATGCTCTTTCGAGAATCGCACTTTATTTGTTTTATTTCATTTCCATTCAGTCCACTGCAAACCAGATCCAGTCCAATCGAATATTAATGAAGGCTATTGTTCCTCGTGTATTCGCGATCATCCCATCCGTTATCCTTAACCATATGCGCCAATTCGATTATAAACTTACCCTCCTTATACTTTTGACTCAATTCGAATGCATGCTCCTGCAAACAAATTCAACGTCACTGCAACAGCAGCGGCATCGAGCAGTCAATTGCATTACAAATGTCACTTTCTTCATTTCGTTTCATCTCAGTGCTAAGTGACAGATAGTTTCGAAGAGGATGAGCAGTCAGCTGCAACAGAAAAAATTTGACCGTGCATCTTCGAAAAGAGCTAACTCAATTGATGAATTTAGAGTGCGCGCTGATTGCAAGCAAGCATGCGACAAAATTTAATGATGTTTGCTTCATGAAGGAACTGCCACTAAATTCGAATGAAAAAAAAACCAACAAAAAAGAAAATCAATTAGAACAACTTCGATTCACTTATCAAGATGGTCACCGAAAGCGCCTAATGGATGCTTCTAAGATGGAGGCAGCTGATGAACATTCAACAACAGCTGTCAGCACTATGCAGTGAAAATTCTCCAATTTGAAACTATTCAATTGGCATCTGTTGTTCAAAAATGCTCCTGACATACGAAATGAAACAAAAATGCGTTCGATATGCATGGAAAATAGTCATTTGTCAGCAATCAGCCTCAATCATTTTTTCGTTACAAAAAAAGATGATAATGTAGCCAGAACAGAATGCTTCTTATCCACTTAGCGAACAAGGCGATTTCGCTTGGGTTGTTGATGGTGCTCACAGTCAGTTTTGTTGCTTTTCAGCGATGCGAATAAACCACAAATAAACCATATGCTAATGTGAATGGGTGAAGTGGCGTTGCACAGTCAACATGTGCTCCATTAATTATAAATTTTATACGAATATTACACAACATGGCGGCATGATCTACCAAAACACAACCGAATGGATGCCACTTAACGAAATGATAATGGTTTGGCACCAAGTTCATTGTAGAGACATTTTGAAAGTTTTAGTTCATCACCCGATGAATATCTCTTGAATGTATATCTACAGCTGAACAGTCATAAGATGGAAATCATAACCCTTTCAATGAATAGTCATCAATGAACATACATATTTCCAACCAAGTGTTGTCTTACAACACTCACAGTATATATCAGCTACTGCATGAAGTCCAGTCAACAGAACACGCTCCTCAGCCGGACCACAACCAATATTAACACTGAAAACATCACAAATACACATTAACAACAACAATTTCAAAATGCATCGCAGTTGCAAAATTTCAGTTTTTTTGAAAGATTTTTAAACTTGAAGCCGAAAAAAAGGAACTGAATTTTATTGCGATGCTGCGTTTAATTCGGAACTCATTGCATTTATGCGATCGAACTATCCGAAGTAACTCGCGCATGTGAATACAGATGCACTAGTGATCTCCTGGGGATCAATTCAAAAACTGATCAAATGTTGCCACACTTCTCTGCGAGGATGTACTTTATAAGTAGAATTTCTGAACAACGAGTGACTGACAAACTGCTTTGAATGTTTTGGTGCAACATTGACGAAGACAGGATCGAATCATCAATAAATAAAATTAATTGGTGAAATTTGATGACATGTAATGTAGATGCGATATTCTCATTGTTAATGAATTAGCATGTGTTTGTGATGGAATCAATTTGCTTCGTTTCGATATCGAACAAATTAATTTGCTAATCAAAATGTGATCAATTCAGTTCACAATATGCACTTTTAATTACATGAAATATTACAACGTCTTCTAACAATGACTAATTCACTTCAGTCAACGAGTGTGTTGTCTCAAAACAATTATTCAGCTGGTTTTATAGCCAGGTAGTGTCGCGACAGTCAACGTTCACGAAACTATTCAGTTCATCATGCGTCGATCACCAATTCAAAAAAAGATGAAATACGAACTTGATAACGAATGGATTGAACAAATGATTTGTTGTCGTTGAGTTAAAAAAAGAACTTCAATAATGAATCCGTTCAATCAATTAAAAATGAACAGAAGAGAAATATTATAAGCAATAACTCACACAGAGTTGAAAAGATATGCCTTTCCTTGACTGCCTTGAAAGGACTGAAAAGATGTTTAAAATTAGGCGTTTAATGCAGATGCACACTGACAATGAAACAGCATTGAATAATATTAAATGCATTTTGTTAGCCACAAGTGGAATATGGATTTGAAATTCTCTAACAAAAATGATAAAACTGAATATTTGAATGTTGTTGTAGAGCAAATTAAATGGAATACACGATTGAATAACATAGAAACGAAAAAAAACCAAATGGTTTGCTCTCGATTCGTTTCAAAGCACCAAAAAAGAAGGTTGCTAATGGGGGATGCGAACGAAGTGATGTTTTTTTTTGTGGTTCGTTTGAGTAGTGAATGCGAGATTTGGAAAATTAGTTTTGCTGGTGAGTGAAAATATATTGGATGGTAAAGAAGGACGGTAGACGGATGACGATTGAGGAGTATTATAGGGGGATTGTTTGCTGATTTAGTGGGAATTGAATCGATTGCACTGATGACACAATAATGAGATTCAATTAGGATGAAATGAAGACAAGTGAATGGAATTCTTCGAGGAAAGGATGTGCTGAGAAGCAATTGAAAGGAGAAGAACAGAAAGAGTTGTTGAAATAAATTCATTGCAAATGAACTGATTCAGAAATTAATTTCATTTATATCCACAACCAATCGCACAATTTCTTCTTAACACTCTTTGCTTGCTAATATTTCTTTTTTGATCGATTTCGTTTTCATCTTATATATGCACGCATGAATTTGTTGAAATAACTAGCACAAATGGAATTGACTGAGATTCGGCGCTGTTAGAAACTTGCTCATAAATACATATCTTTTAGAATGATTCTTCACTGTGTTTTGTGAAAGTTCTGACTTTTCAGCGCACAAAGAAAGTCACCGCCACAAACAAATAAGAGTTTGCCACACATTTCATGACGATAGCGTTCACAATTATTGGATGGGAAAGTGGTTTGTGCTAGAAGCTTTAATGAGAAATTTGAAATTGCTGAGAATTACCTTTGAGATCAATTCGTTATGGTTGGCGAGATTTGCGCGGCAATGAACGCAACTGTATGTGCGTGAACCAGGTGGTAAATATGCCTGTAAGATTAAGCCATGAACTTCTGATCAATTACTGCTCAAGCGTAACAAATCGAAAACAGTCAACGAAACTATCTGCTTTTATGAGGAACTTAAATATTGAGTGGAATTTAAACTTCGTGCAAAAATAAGTGACAGTGCGATGAATGCGAAAGTGAGTGAAATGCACCTGAAAGGTTTTCGATCGCTCTTTTTTGACCGGGTCGATGGCCTTAACTGCCGGTGGCATAGTGGCCATTTGTTCTGCTGATGTAGCAGCAGCAGCCCTCCTCGCTCTCGCACGTTTAAATCGTTCGAAACAAAACAGCGTGATGATTGCTGATTTTATGGAATGCTTATTCGAATGAACAATTTTTGTGGTGATGAGAATAGCGATAGTAACGATGATGACGGTGTTTTGTTGTGCTCAGTGACGATCGTTACCGCTTATTAGTATTTGTAAAGTGAATATCGACAGCTTGTTGATAGGATTATTCGTTTATTTATCACTTATTTGCACTGGTGATGCGGCGTGCTCGGCGAATCAATTCGATCATGTCAGATCGCGCCAACACACGCTTCGAAGAAAATCGTCGAGATCGATCTTATCGCTTTTGATTCGACTGCAATTGCGTATCAAAATTTGACTTCAGATGGATGGCTGATGGATGACAACCGCAATCGTTTCAACAGTACAATAATGACGCACAACAATGGTGTGGATGTGGATCTGAAGACGATGGAAGCAGACGACAGTTCGAATCAATTGATTCTGAGAGGGAATTGTCGTGTCGTTGAACAGAATCAATGATTGTGATTGAAATGATTGTGACGAAGAATTGCTTTTTGCTTTGATAATACGATCGTGAACAACAAATTCTTGTTGTAGTAGTATTGGCTATCCGTTCACAGATCACGGACAGATAATACATCCTATACATCAAATCTATTGTGTGAGCTATGTCCTCGAGACAGCTCTACTTCTTCTCTTCTCTTCAGAATACCGGCACAACAACAGTAGAACGTTATCCAAGAAAGTAACAGATGAAGTGTATCTTCAATATCAAATATCAATCACTAACAGAGCCAAACGAGATTTAGACTTCTACTTAAACAGCAACCGAAACAAGCCGATAGGCTGCTGTGCTCCACTCGCTTCACACCATAGCAACCTTCAAATGGTTGTGGTGGCTGGGATAGCTGGATGGATGGATGGGATGTTACTGCTCTATGGAAACCATTCAGTTTATATACATCTTCTGCACCTACATATATACATGTGTGCACTAGACTATACTTCATTCTCATTCTCATGCGTCCTCCATTCATTCAGTCTTGTTAGTTGGTTAGTGCTGTGTTGTTAGGAGCATGAAAGAGGCCTAGCCTCACAAACCAAACTAATATATTTGAGCAGAAGATGATTTCGGATGATGACAATGATAATGATGCAGGGATAGGTATAGAAGTGCTGCTTACGACTTACTGCAATTGCTATAGATAAAATATTAGTTAGACAGCTGCAAGAGAATGGATGGCTGCTTGTTTACGTCACAAATATTCTATGAGACAGAGTTAGTTGAGTATTGAACTTCTGAAACTCTCAAAGTGATCAGTAACTTGTTATGGATTGAATAGTACAAGCCGGTGTTGCTTGGACGGTTTGGTGTAATACATTATGCTGTGCTGAAATATTCCGTTTCCTTCTTTGTTCGAATGTCGCAACTTTTTGGCAGGAACATTATGTAAGAATAAATCATAAAATTTATCTGCTTCAATGACTCAAACGAACCTTATATGACCATTATAACAATTCTTAAAGTGCATTGCTATTTTATTGTTGCTGGAAAGATACCATTACGTATTTATGATAGCCAATATTGCTGGTACTATCCTCGTCATCAGCTGTTTGGGCAGGACGACTTCGAAGAAAGAAGAATGTGATATTGTCATAGTATGCTGATTAAACGAATGAAGTAAAGAACAGTGGCACTATGCAATCAGGTAAATACAACGGCGGTGCTTACTTTTATATCTTCGATACTTTGAAAGCATAAACTTCTGATAATATCCTAAATGTCTGGAGAAGAACAACAGAAATATCAAGAGCAACAATACCGTAACAATGTTACGACAAATGAGAGTACTAGAGCAATGAAAAGGAAATGAGATTATCAAAGAGAATTATTTCATCAAATTGAATTAATTCTATTAATGAAGAAGAAATGAAACCACTTTAAAAAATGACAATTGATGCGACCGCCGACCATCAAAAATTCGATTATTTTCTAGTAACGCAAAACAACGGAGTCGGAAATTAAAACTTTTGTTGGAACAAAAGATAAGAAAGTTTGGCGAGCGCGATCGTATTGGTGCGCTGTAATTGAATTTGAGTTTGTGTGTGCTCACACTTTTTGACTTCTTAATCGGATTTTTAAAGCGGTTGGAGCGCAAATATCAGCGCGAGAAGTTATATTCGAAAAGCGAAATAACGTTCGATACAACCGAAATTTTGTTTCACATCAGTCACGATTGCACGTCTCCAAACAAAATCACACGAATTCGTAGAAGCTGAAGCGAGCGGCACTTTCTAAATGAATTTTTTAGAGAACACTTCAACCGAAACGTTTCCAGCTCGACTCACAATCAACAGACACAAATTTGTTTGAAGAGATCATTTTGACCACCTCGTAAAGAGCATTGCCATTATATTCGTACTCAAAAAATGCAAATTAATTTGGAATAAAACAACTGATAAGTTGTTTGTTCTCTCACTATGCAAAGAGGAGGAACACGTGTGAAGTGATCGCGTTTGCACGAGTGTTCAAGGAAACTGTTCAATTTATAAATTCAAAGTGGAACCAATCGAAAATCAGGAAAGCGGAACAATTTTTTTTCCATTGTCACCAAAGAAAAAAAATCAGGAAATGCAGTCGAAATCACATAAATGAAATCTAATAAAGTGAATATGCGCTACGATTGCGAATCGAATACGCACACAACTGTAAAAACTATTTTATGCACTCGAAAATTTCTTCTCATCTAAACTTTTCTCGACTGAAAACAGCCGAAAAGAAATGCGAAATCTTTTTTTCCTCGCAATCAACGAGAAATAGATCTGATAACGAGAATGTGAGAGTGAAATAGAAGGAATTGATGCTTCGATTTAATGAAATTCCGAAAACGAACAAATAAATTCATCTCATCAGTTCTGCGTCATATCAGAATTGCCGGTGCAAAAGCAATTAAACAAGCGAAGAAGCAAACAAGACTGGACATGAAGTTTTCAAGACGTCATCATGAAACGACAAGTTGATCAGTTGAAAAAGTGATCGCCACCTAAGTTGATGAAATGAAGTTGACGGAAAGAAGAGTTTCATTGAGAAATTTCGCTTTCATCAAACTTTTTGACTGAAATTCAATATGAATGAAAGGCAGACACTGAAAGAATGCTGAATGCAATAATAAAAATTCTAATGACTATTTCAGCTAACAATAAGCACTTTGCACATAATTCAAATTTAAACTTAAACTTCAATTTAATCTGTGATCAATCATCAATCAATGGGGTTCATTTGATTTCTGTATGACGTACTGAAATGATTCGGGTATGCGTATCCCTATGTATGTGTGTATGAGTGTTTAAGTATGTGGACAACGAATCAAGCAGTTCTAAAAAAATCTCACTACAATTGACTTGTTAAAAGCATCACTGCACCCGCTCAAATCTCCAATACCTGTTCTGAACATTAAATTCATTTCGAATACACTTGAAATGTGTCGTTGCTGATTGTTTCAACAACAAATACACACAAAAACACAATCTTTTTCATGAGCGATGGACAGTTTCGCTGGTAATTCTCACTGCACTGAGGCAGCCAACTCTGAGGCGTTCAGAACAGATATTTTGTAAATCAACTGCCAAACAACCATATGCACTACAGTGATTCTCGTCAGAGTGAGCGATTGCTCGACTGAAATGAGTGAATATCATTCTGGTTGTGTATTTTGAGAAAGGAAGGCCTTAGGATGCGACGTGGACACTTTCATTTTAAACTGGGTTGGTTGGGCTAGACAAGCTGGGAAACCTATAGCGTACTTCACACGTAAACGAGAAAACTTTCTTCATTTCACCTAAAAAGCGGAATTTTTATGATAGATTCGATGGAAATCGTGAGTTGGCAATTGAAAATTTGACAAATAATATAAATTTATTAATAACAAACATGTATGTNGTTCGGATTGCAAACATTTTGTTTTTGTCGTTATTTTTGTCACTGTTTGCACCATTATTAATTTCACCGCTGTCATCTGTTCATAATTCAGAACCTTAATAGCATTATCGCTACGCTCATTTCTTGAGAGCCACACTGACAATAGGGTTGATGTGATCACATTACAACGATTTTTCATCAAGGTTGGGAAAGCTATGAACGAATTTCACCACTCGACACTTTTTTGTGCATTATTATGGATTTTCGGAGTTGTTTATGTGACGTTGTGCACTTAGCGAATGGAATGAGGAAAATAACTGGCTTATTGAGAGCGAGGGAAGACCAGAATGAAGACAACAATGGACTTTTGCGATGAGTTGAAGGGGAACGAGGGATTTTGAATATTTGTGACAGATCCTCTCAATGATTCTGAGCACTTGAGCGCAGAAAATTTTGTGTATTCGACGTTTTCGGTGGTTGTCAATATTTCAGCGAAATTGATGGAGATCGAAAATAGTTTGGAAATTGGTGCAAAAAGCACATGAGAAATACTCGAAGTGAAAAATGCTGTCAATTACGAACGAATAAATGTTGAACGCAGTCTTTTGCGAACGACGAATGACCTTTTTGTGAAAGCAGTAATAATTTGTTGGTTTATCGTTGTCGCCGTAAAGGAACCATTGAAATGAATCAAATTCGACGACAACGATTCATCAATCATCAGAACAATGCACACTTCTCAACAATCATTACCAATCCCATCATTAACACAAGAAGGCAATACTACTCTTGTGATCGCATTCACAATTGACTAGAAGTCAAATATTCTCTGAATGTGCTCTTTTCTCACATGACATTTTTTGCGTTTGTTCATATCATATGAAAATCATTAAAGATTTTGAAGCAACAAAAAATTTTGAAGTGAAGTGAATGAGATGAGAAAGGATTTGTTGTTTTTGTATAGGACGCGAGCTAATTCGTTGAAATATCAACGGAGTAGAGTATGTTCTGAGGTGATAAGTGATCTATACAATATCATAATCCACTT